TTCTACCAAGTATCGCCTATTTTTATAAAATGTATAGCAAGCAAATAAGCTTAAAGCTTACTCTTCCCTCCATTAAGAGCAACATCTCGTAATGACAAAAGTTCCAGCGACCGAAATGGTGGCTCCCGTTCCTTAAGGAGACCGGCTAATACTGCAGCCGGAGGCTTTACGAGAAGAGCGAACAACGGCCTTAGGAACCCACCACTTATGATATTTCCGCCTCCAATCCGCACTTCGACTCTTTCCGCCCGGCCGCGATGTGCGCCTGCGCAGCCGCCGCGGTCACCACCAGCGTTCGTCAGCGACCGGGCTGAGTTCGGGTTCCTTCGGCTGGGCTCGAGTATTTCCGCTCGTGCGGGGCGTCCCTCGGTCACTTCCGGAAACGTTCGAGGTTCCTGGCAGGGGACGGTGTCGCCGCCATCTTTAAGTGGGGCAGATGCAGTCCGCCTCACTCGCGGTCCGGCCATTCCCGCTTGCCCTACTGCAGACCGCGGCGGGGGCGTGGTCAAATGAGGCCCTTGTCCCGGAGGTCAGACAGGGACATGGTGATGCCGGGGCCAGAGCCTGGGGTGAGGCCAGGGGTGTTGTCCGGAGGGTAAGGGGTGGAGCACCCTCATGTCCCATCGCAAACCCCAACCACCCGCTCGCGGAGATGCTAGTTGAGCTGAAGTAACCAAACACCTATTGTACCAGAGAACGGCCAGCACGGTGAAGTGTTATGCGGGGAACTTGGGGGCGGGGCCCCGCGGCGCCGCCACGGGCGTGGTGGGCGGGCCCAGCTTCTCCCCCAGTCACAGCTCTGCATGCTCCGAAGGGCGGGAGGCAGCGACGTGAGTGGTTCCGCAATTTCCGGCGTCACCGCAGAAATCTTCCGGCCGGTGAGGAGGTGGGTCGCGAGGGCAGGACCGCGGTGGGCAGCTCTAACGGAGCGCCCGGAGCATTGTGGGAGACGCAGCCCGCCGGTCCCAGGCGCGCGGATCTCAGCTCGGCGCAGTCGCCTGGACGCCCTCCTCGTCCTCGGACGGACCGGCGTCCACCACACACCGTCCCTCAACCGGCGAATTACCGCGGCCTCCGCGGAGGCTCTGCCCCGGCCCCCTGGACTGACCCCGGCTGTCTTTCTGTAACTGCCTCTCCTCCCGGCCTGGCCGCCCTCAGTGCCGCCGACCCACAGGCCCCCTCCAGCCCCAGGAGAGCGGCATGCTGGCGATGTGCGGGGTGCACACCGGCGTTCCCCGGCTGCAGACGGGACTGGTCCTGGGAGTCAGGGGCCTCCAGACTGAGCGCTTTCCCTCGGGCCCTCCCTCCCCGTTCCTGCTGGCCGCTCTGCTCTTGTCATTTGGTCTCCTCGTGGGGGTGGATGACCATCCTTATCCCAGCCAGAGTCTCAGGGGTGGCGGTTCTGGCCAGCCTGGCCCGCGTGTCCACCTCTGGGCATAGGGTGTGGGTTCCTTGGAGAGGTGACGCTGGACTGGCCAAAGCTGGACTATCATCATGGCTTCGACTCAACCGTGCAAACCATTCTGGGTAAAGGAGGCCATGGGGGCCGGACCAGGGAGGGGGTGAGGGGATGGCCGAACTCAGGCGGGGGCTGGATTGGAAGCGGTGCAGCTGCGTCTTTTTTGTCACCGTTTCGGCCACCAGAGGTGGCAGAGGGCACAGCTGGTTTGCCTGCGGAGGGGCCTGAGCCTCTGGGAGGCAGCAAGCGCTTGGCACCTGCAAAAGCCCCGAGGGAAGCCAGGGCTAGAGCCTTGCGGGAAGGGCAGGACACGATGGAGAGGATGAGGGTGGAAGTGCAGCCCGGGGGGTGGGAGTGACCACTGGAGGGCTGGGCACTGGCCTGGGGCCTGCCCCCACCCTGTTCCCGTAGGAGGATGCGGGGAAAGTCCTGCAAGAATGTGTATTTCCAGATAAAACCTTCCAGCCTTTTCACTTCAGGGATGTCTTCCCAGGTTTAAAGTTTGACAGACACTCGCCAGGCCGTATCTGGGCTGCTGGGCACCGGCTTCCTACCTCTAGTGCATCCGATGAGCTTTGCCAGCCAAGGAGAACTAGGCCTTCCAGACCCTCCCGGCTCCGGGCTCGGGCAGCGGATGTGTGTGTCTTGGGCAAACTGCGCTGGAGTCCTAAGAGGAGGCACCCAGAGACGTGCAGGCGCTGCTAGGAGCCACCTCTTCGGGGGTCGTGGCTCTCGGGGGCCAAGAGGTCGCAGTGGGAAGGGTGGGTGTGTGGACTTAGCTGGAGAGGGACCAGCAGGGGGGGCAGCATCGAGTGCGCGGAGACCCAGACCAGGTCCCTTCTACTGTTATTGAGCATCTACCGGGGCCGGGCCTGCGCCGGAAGACTCACAACCCGTGCGGGAAGTGTACCGTCAGT